GTGCATAGCAGGTTTGACATCCTAGGTTTCACCTCGGACTGCAGCCTTGTGTGAACCCAGGGGCGTCACAGACCTCGAGAATCATCAGAGATCAGAGCTTCTGCGTGTAAATCCGGAGTTCGAATTTCGATTCCAGTCGGCTCACTAACGTGAGAAGCTTCAGCAATCTTGTTCTGATCGTCAACGGGAGGCAATCTCGACTCAAGCATCATGGAAATCATCTTTTCGCCATCAAGAACCCACGTTAAACAAGGAAGAGCTGAATTAATCTTCTCTTCATCTGTAATCGAGATAGAGTGTGAGTGAATGTAAGGGTTTCGTACCAAGTGATCGAACCCAGTTTTCTTAAAACAAGAGAATCAATCCCAGTTAATTTTTCGACCCTATAGGATAGAAGGGCGTAACTGTCTCCTCCAAATCAGCGCACACCGTAACGTGCCCCTGAAGATTAGTCCACATGGCTGACTAAGTCCTCGGAACCGTTATAGCTAGATCTCATGTGGATGACGAGCCTCGTCTTTAATTGAAAAGAGGTTCGTCAAGTTGGACGAGCCCCGATACGTAACGAGGTTCGTCTTACAAGGCAAACTTTACAGTAAGCGAGATTCTTCTGACGAATTTTGTCTTCATTGGCCTCGTCTGACGAACTTCATCTTCACTAACAATCTTCTTCTTCAAATAGTTGGGTCCAACTGCATAGTAAATCTTGTGACTTTACTTTTGTTGAACTTCGTCTTCGCTGACGAGCTTAAGTCTGACGATGAGCTTTATTTTCACTAACAAGCCTCATTCTTCAAACTATGAACTACGAACCCCATTGCTACTGACGAGCTTCGCTTTTGTTGTTAAGCTTTGCTGGTCGGCAACCCACGTTCTCGAAGTGGATCTTCACTAAACGATGACCCTCGTTTCGGATTAAGACGAGGTTAGTTTTCCTGACAATCCTTTTTATATTTTAAAGTTTGGCATTTTTGAATGGCTACAATTATGTCTAATAATAGTTCATGTTAGGTCTAATAATAGTTCATGTTAAGTCGAATAATAGTTCATGTTAGATCTAATAATAGTTCATGTTAAGTCTAATAATAGTTTATGTTAGGTCTAATTTCATGTTACGTCTAATTTTAGTTCATGTTAAGTCTAATAACAGCTCATGTTGTATAATTTTATGTTAAGTCTAACTCGATTCGTGTTAAGTTTAAATTCAGTTCATATTAAGTCTAATAACAGTTTATGTTAGGCCTAATTTACTTCATGTTAAATTCATTTTAAGTCTAATTTACTTTATGTTAAGAATAATTTTTAATATTTTGTTTACTTAACATGAATTGTTATTAGACTTAACACGAACTATTATTAGATATAACATGAACTGAAAGTAGACTTAACATGAAATATTATTAGACTTAACATAAACTATTATTAGACATAACATGAGCTGAAATTAGACTTAACATAAACTATTATTAGACCTAACATAAACTATTATTACACATAACATGAACTGAAATTAGACTTAACATGAACTAAAATTAGACCTAACATGAACTATTATTAAACTTAATATGAACTGAAATTAGACCTAACATTAAATTAGACCTAACATGAATTCTCATTAGACTTAACATGAAAAAATAGAGGAGGTAAGGGCATTTCGGGGTTTTGTACTTTTTATGCTTTCTCTATGTTTAGTTGACGGGTTATAATTACTAAGGGGGGGTTATTGGTTAGGATATTTTGGGGGATAATGGGATAATTTTGGGGATTCTATTTCATAGTGTTATTCATTGAGACAATAGAATAAGGATAATACATTTTTGTGTTATTGGTTTTTTAGAACACTAGTGAGATAATTACACCACTTGGGATAAAATTACCCCACTCATATACAAAAAATTTATCCCAATAGTAAAAATTTACCCCATCCTCCATATTGGAACAATGTTGTTCCACTTTGAAGGCAATTAGGATAATTTTAAAATATTTTTGTATTACTTAACTAATACATGCAATTATATTATAAATATATGTCATGATATATAAAATATAACATATATTAATATTTTAATAACATAATTTAATAACATATATTAATAATATTATATAATAGTAATTATAGTATAACGTATTAATTATAATATTATATAATATTGTAATAACACATATTAATAATATTATGTAATATATTATTATATAATATTAATTAGTAATTATAGTATAACGTATTTATTATAATATTATATAATATTATAATAACATATATTAATAATATTATGTAATATATTATTATATAATATTAATTAGTAATTATAGTATAACATATTTATTATAATATTATATAATATTGTAATAACATATATTAATAATATTATGTAATATATTATTATATAATATTAATTAGTAATTATAGTATAACGTATTTATTATAATATTATATAATATTTTAATAACATATATTAATATTTTTATAACATAATTGAATAACATATATTAATATTTTAATAACATATATATAATACTTTAATAACATATATTAATAGTATTATGTAATATATTATTATATAATATTAATTAGTAATTATAGTATAACGTATTTATTATAATATTATATAATATTTTAATAACATATTATTATATAATTAATTTATAAAATATTATTATAGTTATTATATATATGACATACTATTATAATATAATATAATAATTACTAATATTAGTAAAATATTATGATATAATATAATATAATACTATAGTTTGAAATAATATAATATATTATACTATAACATGATACCTATTAATATATATTATTATAATTATCATGTTATATATATATATTATTTTAATTTTAATATAATATTTTAAAAAATATTACATTGAATAAAGTAAAATATTATAATATTTTATAAAGTACATTATATCCTATGATACTATATTATAATAT